ATGGGGGGCAATGTGTGTGTATGGGGGGCAGTATGGGGGGGCAATGTGTGTGTATGGGGGGCAGTATGGGGGGCAATGTGTGTGTATGGGGGCAGTGTGTGTGTGTACACCCCTCCAAGCCTACCTGTCACTGGAGGATGTTGCTGGGGGTCAGGCAGCCATCTCCTGAAGCAGCATGGGCTGCTGCATAACGGCGGGGGCGGGGCTTACCGGCGGGAGGCGGGGCTTCGTTTGGGGGCGGAGCCTTGCCGGGGAGCCAATCAGTGCTCCCTCCAGCCACAGACAGCCCCCAGCACCTCAGCACTGCATTCCCTCCCCGGCTGTGACAGGCTGTTACAGTCCGAGGGAAGCCCATGGCCAGCAAGTTGCTGGCATTTGGGGGGGCCCAAGGGGGGGCACAGCATCATGTAGGGGGGGCCATGGCCCCCTCTGGCCCCCCCTAGCGACGCCACTGCCTAGAAGACACCGGGGCAGACCTGTAGTGATGGGACGGAGCCTGATCAACTCTGAATATATGGTAATAACTGCCTCAGCACCTTGCCTATATATCCTGTCCCTGTGATTGGCCTGTCTCCATGTCTGTGTTGGCTGCTGGAGGGCAACAGGTTAATAGCTTGCCTGGAGTCCCTTTTTGTATAGAACCTGTATATTGACTATCTGCCTCCTGGGTGCGAACGTGTTTTGCATAAGGGGAGGATAGGGCACGGGAGGGATTTTCATAGGGGTTTTGCTGACAGTTGTGGCGCCGTAAGCATGTGACTGGGTTTGTTGTCAGCCTTATTAACCTGTTGGAAGCAGATGTCCTCTCCCGCTTACAAGCCTCTATCTCCTTCATCCCAGATGGCCAGATTCAACTGTCCTCCCCCCTATCTGCGGCCCTCTGCTCCATACCACTCATGCTCCACATGGAGACACCTGATAAGAATGCAAGGGTCCTAGATGGTTCCTTTACCAGAATACCTTCCAAGCTATGGTCCACAGGCCCAGAAGACATTGGACACCTCCAAATTCCCCCAGTTCTGGTGAAGTTACTCCCAGGAGCCAGCCTGCCCCGTAAACCACAGTATCCTCTGAAGCCTGCCCAAGCCCTCGCTATCTCTCAGCAGGTTGAAAGCCTATTGTCTAATGGTGCCCTGGTCAAGTGTGAGTCTCCCTGCAACACTCTATTCCCCGTGAAGAAGAAGTCTGCCAAGGGTGAGCCCGAAAAATACAGAATGGTTCAAGACCTCAGAGCTGTCAAAGAAGCTACTGTTCTGAAAACCCCCATTGTACCTAACCCTCACACGCTCCTGTCAGTTGTCCCACCTACCTCCAAGATTTTCACAGTGGTGGATTTGGCTAATGCTTTTTTCAGTGTACCTCTGGATCCTTCCTGTCAATATCTGTTTGCCTTCACCCATGAACGTCAGCAATACACCAGGACTGTCATGCCTCAAGGAGCTCAAAACTATCCTAGTCAGTTTGCCAAGTCAATGGCTTCAATTCTGGACTCATGGATCCCATACTGATGTGGTCCTGCTCCAATATGTGGATGACCTCCTCCTCTGTGCTGATGATCTCCCTACTGCTGAACAAGGATGCAAGGCCTCCAAGAAAAAGCTGCAGTGGTGCCTGCCCTCCATGGTTTTCCTGGGTCATTGTCTCTCCCATGGCACCCGTCACCTCACCCAAGACCGGCTGAGAGGAGTGTCTGCTATCTATCCTCCTACAGCACACAAGCCCCTTCATGCCTTCCTGCGCCTAATCTCCTACTGCAGAGCCTGGATACCTGAGGCCTCCATCCTCATGCAACCTCTGTATGATGCCTTAAAGACTGAACAATTTTCCCTGTCCCCTGAAGCCATTCTTCTTTGCCTTGCAACGTGCCATCTCCACCACCCCAGCCCTGGGCCTCCCAGATTACCAAAAGCCTTTTAAGTTTGTGTCAGAAAGACAGGGTCATGCCTCTGGAGTGCTCACACAGTCTCATGGCTCCCGCCAACGTCCCATTGGCTATTATTCGTGCCAACTGGATCCTGTGGTGAGAGGAGGCCCTCATTGACAAGATGAGGGATTTGGTACTTGGTCATCACCTCACCATTCTTGCACCCCATGACATTGCTGCTATTATCAGCCAAGTGCAGCCCAAACATCTCTCTGCTGCCAGCCACCTCTGCTTACAGTGCTCCCTCCTGCTGCCTGATAACGTGTCCCTGCAGAGGTGCTACTCCCTTAACCCGGCCACTTCCCAGGGGGGGAATTCCCCACTACTGGTACAGCCTTGACATAGACCCAGACTCCATGCTTCTTCTGAATGTGCTCAAGCCATCTGTCCCACATGACACTCAGCCTTTCCCTCATTGCACCTTGTGGTACAGAAATACTCCAGGACCCGAACCCCACTATGAAGAAGACCTGTTCCAGTTGGTGGAGGTGCGACTCATCATAACAGACCTGTTCTGTGATCCTACAGGCAATTGTCTAGCCTTAGTTCATCTTCCTCCGGCTGTAAATCACCTATACCACCACTGGGACTTAGCCGTCCCTCACATCTCTCTCTAAGTCCCCACAGACTTCATGGGAAGAACTCGGCCCATTAGCCAAATCATGGAGCACTGCTGACCAGACCCAGCTTTCTGAAGAGGGTGTCACCAAGCGAACCCTGAATTGCAGGGCAACTGGCTATCCCCGATTCCACACAGAAATATGCACCAAAACTCCTCCCACAGCCCAAGATTCTGATGCACCTCATGATTGTTTCGAACAGATGAAAATGGAAACAACACACCTTCCAACTGTACATAAAGTTGCCTTACAAGAACCTGAACTCACCCTGCTTGTGGATGGCTCCAGATATGCTGATGAACATGGAAGATACCATACTGGATTTGCTGGCACCACAGTGGATAAAGTACTTCAAGCATCCTCACTCCTCTCATCCATGTCTGCACAAGAAGCTGAGCTACAGGCTCTCACCTCAGCATGTAAGATTTCTGAAGGAAGACGCGCCAATATCTACACTGACTCAAGATATGCACTAGGCGTAGCACATGACTTCGGATTAATCTGGAAGACAAGAGGATTTCTCACAGCAACTGGCACACCAGTCAAGCATAGTACTGCTATCAAGGAACTGATGGATGCTGTGACAGAACCATCTGTCTATTTATTGCGGTGGATTCGTCTGCTTCTGCCCCATTCGTGTAAATGGCTGTTTTTTCCCGAACAAACCTACCGAACGGACGGCCACCCAGGAGAGAAGTGTGCTGCTGGTTAACCTATTGATCTCAATTAGAACGTTGTGGTTAACCGCAGACACTTATTAATTAAACCGAATTCAGGGTGGTCGTCGTTCGTATGTCAACCACGAGGCAGCGGCCATTTTAAACCATGCGAAAGCCCAGCGGTGTTCAGCTCTATTTTCATGGAACTAAAAACGGACACTTTATCTGCCGAACACCGCTGAAACAATGGAACGCCTGGCTGCCTCCAGGAAAGTGTACGAACACCGGCCGTTCGGGAGGTTTACAACACACGAAAGGACTTAACCCAGATAGCCTTCCCATGGAATCATTCGTGTACCGAAAGACTGTAAGAACTTTGACTCCATGGCGATTGAACTGTGTGTGTGGGATCTGAGTGCTATTCGCTAATAATATGCACTCAGATCCAGGCTATCTGGGTCTATGTGATGCGAATGGGAAATGTTTGGTTATTTTAAAGTTATGTATTTTTATGTATTTTCTGGTTTTATATTTAAGATGGCGATTGTCTTTGTCCTGGAGATAATTGAATTTCTTCTCAATTATCTCCAGGGCAGAGGGGAGGAAACGTCTGGAATGTCCCCATGTCTGTCTGTCATTACAGTCTCCCATTTGGTCCCCTAGGGGAGTGTCCACCAAGTGGGAGACCTCATAAATACGGGCAGGTAGCCCACAGTAAAGCCAGATCCTGTTTGACCCTCAATGCGGAGCTTCTGTCTCGTTATTGGGGGGATTTATTATTTGCGTTTAGAGACTGCTGGGTGGAACCGAAAGCCGCTTGCTGGATATCGTTGTTCGGCGGCTAGCAGCAGTTTGTGGAGTTCCGTTCGGGAGGTTGGAGCCTTTCACGGATCCCGGTCGGGAGATTACCGCTTCCCCTGGTTATGGTTCGTGTATTACACATTGATACGAATGGATTACTGATATTGCGAAAGGGGAAGGTGAACTAAACGGCAGTTTCTCTTAAAGACACCCGGGGTGTCTTAACAGATGCCCTACTCCTCCCAGTAGAAGTGGCCATACTAAAGTTAAAGGCTCACGGAAGACTGAACTCGGATGAAGCACGAGGCAACTATCTAGCTGATGAAGCCGCCAAAGACGCTGCGTGTGCACCAAGAGAAGTGGATAGAAGAGTGTCCGCCGAAGAAATCCCCATATTCACTATGCAGACCTCAAGCTTCTGAAGGAACTACAAGCAGTTGCTGATCCTGAAGAAAAACAAAGCTGGAAACATAAAGAGGCAACCCTTAAAGACGGGCTGTACTACAACAATCTCAAGTTCTGTTTACCTAAGAGCATGTATTCAGCAGTGGTCCAGTGGGCCCATAGAACATCACACCTGTACAAGACCCTCATGAACTCCCTGATCAGCAAATACTATGAAGCACCAGGTATTACCTCCCTGACAAACAGCTACTGCAGATCCTGCACCAACATGACAGCCAAAACTACAGCCAAATGCCTGCTCACTGAAGAAGAATGCAGAAACGGGTCACAGACGTAATAGAAAGTGATCAGGTCCCGGCCTTCACTGCATCAGTAACCAAAGAAATCTGGGAGCACTTGGGGTGACCCTTGCATTCCACACTCCCTACCACCCTCAGAGCAGCGGCAAGGTAGAACGCATGAATGGCACCGTAAAAGCCAGAATGCTGAAGATGGCCCAAGAAACTAACCAGTCCTGGCCAGAGAGTCTCCCCATTGCCCTGTTCAGTGTTAGGTACACACCAAGAGGGAGGTTTGCCCTGTCCCCTTATGAGATCCTGTTTGGGACTTGGATACTATTTCCCCCAACAACTATTCTGATATATTGGTTGACTATGTAACCGGCCTCTCCCGAGCATTGACCAAAATCCATGCACAAGTGTTCTCTTCCATTCCAGATCCAGAGTCTGATACAAGCACCCACTGACTGCTTCCTGGTGATTGGGTTCTGGTTAAGAAATTTGTGAGAAAACACACTCTTGAGCCAAGATATGATGGTCCCTTCCAAGTCCTCCTGGTCACAGCCACTTCTGTTAAATTGGCCGGGAAGAACACCTGGATACATGCTTCCCACTGCAAAAAGGTTCCAGCCCCAGAGGAGATGATCTTCCTTTGCATCCTTTCGCTGCTAGGCCTGATAAGGGCCCAACAAGTTGCCATTACTAAAGATGATAATGTGTTTAAATTTTGGTATAACTCTTCTAATACAAATGTAGCCACTTATGCATTTGACTGTTGTGAAATTGTCAGCTGTTCATTTCCACAATCATTGGTACAAACTGTATACAAGGATATACCCTGCGTAAAAGACCCATACATATGTGTTACAGACGATTATTGGGGACATGACAGTAGTTCCTGGAGGGCGGCAGGTTGGAACACAGGGCCAGCCTGGGGCTACAAACCGCAGAGTGCCCAAGACAGATTGGACAATAAGGGGTGACTCCAATGAAACTTACCCTAAACATAGAAAATCCTAACCCCAGCGATGCTGGCCAGTATGTAATGGGGATGTTCTGGAAAGGGGGGGCTCTTATAGTAAACAGGGAAGTTTCTATCTCCAAGACATGTATCAATCACCTGAGTGGGTAGCTTCCCGACATGTGGGGATTACTAACCCACTCAAACCCCACATCCAGACCTTTAAGGACATGGTAACCAAGGTACTGTACCCCTAATCCTACCCTCTGATATAGAAGTGTGTTTTCTGAGTCTCTTCACTAACCAATCAGTGTGCGACTCATGGAAAAAGAACCCCTATGACTAAGAACCCCAAACCAGATGAGGGTATCACCATCTGTCCAGGGAACTATATTTGTTATGGTATATATGGAGGAATAGGAAGGTTTTGGGGTATTTTCACCGGTAAATATTGTGCCACTTATAGCAAAGTTCCAGCTGCCTTACTGCAAAATCAGGTTAAATGGGAGACATATATTGGTTGTGTGGGGATATGCAGCTCAGGACAAGGTTGGAAGGTTTATGGTGGGGGGAACATGCCCTAGCCAAAGTAATTATGCCCATACACATTAAATCTGACAGCCACCATGTGACAAAGTGCCCTTCGCCACTTGGTCCTGGAGAGGCCTGCTAGCCAGCCTCCTGCCCTATGACTATGGTTGGGTTGTATGGCCCTTTAAGACTATTATCTAGGTGGGTTGTATGGCCCTTTAAGACTATTATCTGGGCTTATGGACTTTCATTGGACTGGTGCTGGCCCTTTAAGCACATTTTTGGGACATAGTTAAAATTGAAACAATGCCCCTTTAAAACTGTGTCCCCAGAGTGTGAAAATAACTTGTACATGGCTTTTTCCCTTATGGATCGGTAAATGGGGCTTACCGAACCATTTACTGCACAGGCGGACCACACAGAAGTGGAAGTGTGCAGTCAATTTACCTCCCAGGCTGGTGGTTAACTGCAATGTTAATTGCCGACCGCTGGGTGGCCGCCGTTCGTATAGTCGAACACATGGCAGCGGCCATCTTTGTTAGTCGAACGCGGTCAGCGGTGTGTGCAGCTAAATCCATGGAACTGAAATCAGCTATACATTTGCATGAACACCGCTGACCCTTACCTTCTCCTCCACTCAGTTTTCAGCCGCAGCATCTAAGTCCTGTTCGGCGATTTGAACACACAGGGAGCTATTTGCATGAACGGAGTGAAATTGACCGACCGCACAGCCCAAATCTATGGAACTGTTTTGGGCAGGAAAATGTGCTTGCGGTTGGACACAAAGGACTTCCGACTAACTTTTTAACCCCTGGAAGGAATTGCCTGAATTTTGGATATGTTTATATTTGAAGTAAACTGAGTAATAATATATGTTTTTATGGAGATTGGATGTATATTTTTAAAGTTATAGTGAATGTGTAAAAAGTATATTTTTCCTGCCTGTAATAATTACATTAACCCATTGTGTACAGTAATTATATCACAGGCAGAGGTGAGGATTTTGTGGGAATGAATGGGAGTGTTTTACTGTATATTACGTGTTTTATTGGTTGTTCTACAAAACCCTGTAGGCGGTACTGTATGTGTAAAATCTTTGGTGCTGATTACTCAGTCGGAGTATGGGTGATCCGTTACACACCAAGATACACTTGACAAACCACATTCACATATCAGAACAAAAAGAGGCACCCCTGTAAAAGGCAGTTTGACCCCCATGTATTTATATATGACATTGGGGTGCCAATGGGGGGTGCCAAATTAATTCAAGGTGAGGGATGAGGTTGCTGCAGAATTTGAATCCATTCTCCCAATCATTACTGCCAATAAGAATCTAAATTGGATTAATTACATATATTATAACCAACAACGGTTTGTAAATTATACAAGAAATGCTCGTCAGGGGATAGCTGAGAAGCATTCCAGATGACTTTCCAGAATAGGATGGCCCTGGACATGATCCTAGTGGAAAAAGGAGGAGTATGTAAAATACTCCCTGAAACCATGACAACACAGGCCCTAATGTCAAAGTAACCCTGGCAATAGAGAAATTAGAGAGTCTCTCTGAAGAATTGAAAAGGAACTCTGGGGTCACTGATCCATGGGAAAGATGGTTTGGATGGATGAGTGGTTGGCAGCAAGTTCTTGCCCAGATAAGTGTGGCGGTTCTGGTAATCTTGATTATTCTTGCACTCATTGTCTGTTGTGTTAAGAAATGTATTAAGAAATGTATACAGAAAACAGCAGATCAGGCCACACCAACTTTCATTCATCAAGAGATAGATGAGGAGGATTATGATAAACCTTATGTCCCGTTGCAGTCCTTCACCGCCAAAGATACAGTATTTTAGGGATAGTAGAGATAGCGTCTGTCTTTACGGGCAAAGTCTGTAGCGAGGGGGGGTGGTGGACAAGCCACTGCTCGTCTTATGCGCAGCACTAAAAGAGTTCGGGACCTGTTGGATAGATGAGCTGTAGACTATTATGGACAGTTTCTAGGGACAGAAATAGCTTTTAGAGATAAATGTTAGTAAATAGTCATTTTAAGGGGGGACTGTTATGTACAGAAATTAATGTAGGTAAAATGTCTACTTACTAACTATACCTGTATTCAGTATTTACTCAAAATGGCTTCTAGAGCACCCCCTCCCATCGACCAAACACCTCGTGTAACAAGATGGCGTCTCCATCCGAAGTAAAATCCCGAGATGATGGTGACATCACACTTTGGAGGAAGTGCATTAGATAAGACACTTAACACTTGACCAATTGAAGATGTATTCTTTCTGTTACCTTGTAATTTGTATATGATGTATTCTCTGCTTTATAAGGGGCTTGCCGCCCCTCTAAGAAAACATTCCGAAGATTTTCATTAACCTGAAACCTGTATCTCAGTGTGATTTACTTCAATGTGCACACACCTTATTTTAAACAATCTGGACAGTGGCAGATACTCTAACAAACACTTGGTTTGGTCTAAAACAAGCCCACCCATAAACAAGTACTGGACCTAGTGACTTCTGTAGCCCGGCTCTGTCCTGCGTGTCCCCAGCTGTTAAGTGGGCATCTGGTACTCCCGGCCTCTCTGTTGCTCTCTGGCTTGGAGTTAGAGTTACCCGGTGGGCAGAGACCAGCAGTGCTTCGCCCCGCAGCCAGCATAACAGCTGGGTAGATCAGAGGGTCGTCAGGTCCTGGACTAAGGACGAGGGGAGAGGCCAACTACGCTCTGCCCTGGTGCCATCGCTTCTGCTGGGGGGACCAGTGCATAGTTCTGCCCTGTAACAAGGGGCGTTCTGCCCTGATGCCATCTCTTCCGCTGGGATTGGGCCAGTGGGTATTATCATCTCATCCACTACCCCCAGGACCCAGTTGGGCAGTTGTTGCTGAGAGGAGCAGGCCCCTCCAAGAACCCATGACAAGCTTCAGTTCGTCACAATCATAAGGTGTACTTAGTTTTTCACTCACGGCTTCTCCATCTATTTTTGTTGAATAAAGCATGACATGGTGTAATATGTCATGTGTTGTTCATCTGAAGTTGTATTTACCTAATTGTAGGACCTGCTAAGGAACAGATGATTGCTATTATGTCCTGATATTTAAAAACCATAGAATTCACAGAACGTATACTTTCTTTTTCCCATGACTGTATGTAACTATATAACCTTCAAGACTTCTCCTGTGGAACTCCCTTCCCTGCTCCGTTGGACTTTTACCCAGTCTCATTTCCTTCAAAAGATCATTAAAAGCTCACTTCACTTATCAATTAAACTGTTAAAATTAGTTTTCACTCCCTGCACATTTTTTACCCACCCTGCTTCCTTTCCTGCAACTGTGTGATCCAATAAACTAACTTCCCTGTAACCTATTCTAGTAACCTACTTTCCCCAAACTTCAAATACACCCTACCCAGGGCCGGACTGGGAGAAAAATTCGGCCCGGGCATTTTTTTAACACAGCGGCCCACTAAGAAGGGGGCGGGGCAGAGGAGGTGTGTTTTGTCATCACCAATGATAAACTCTCAAAGTGAGCATGTTGGTTCAATGCTCTTCCAGGGCAGACAATGCGCAGAGCTCTGCTGAAGAGCTCTAGCATGAGAAAAAAGTCCTGTATTTGTTCTGCACAGTGCAAGCAAATTTAATAACATGCTTGCACTGTGTTTCCTTGCAACTTGTCTCTGGTGTCTCTATAAATGGAGACAAAAGGGCCAGGAAAGAGTATTGTGCATGTGTTTGGAGCCTGCTTGTGGTATTGCGTGTGTGTAGAGTGAGCTGGTCGTGGTGTGGTATTGTGTAATAAGGTCAGTTTTAGTCATGTGTTGTTGGTGTAATGTAATGCATATGTGGCTAGGGGCTGTAGAGAATGTGTGTATAGGGGATGTAGTAAGTGTGTGCATACAGGCTATAGTGTGTGTGTATAGGTAATGTAGTGTTTGTAGGGGTTGTAGAGAGTGTGTGTTTAGGGGTGTAGTATGTGTTTGTTTTCAAGGAATCTAGTGTGTTTGTATAGGGGACACAGAGTGTGTATGTTAGGAATGTAGTGGGTGCGTAGGTTTGAAGGACCCAGCATGTGTAGGAGATCTAGTGAGTGTGTGTATATAACAGATTCAGAGTGTATATAGTGATCTAGTGTGTATGTATATGATCCAGAGTTGGGTAAGGGATCTAGTGTGTGTCTGGAATGTAATGCGTTTAGGGGTGCAGTATGTGTGTGAGGTGTTCAGTGTGTGTGAGGGGTGCTGTAGTGTGTGTATATATATAGAATATAAATATTTTTGGAAGTATTGTGTGTGTTTGGTGCAGTGTGTGGGGTTCTGTGTGTATGTGTGAGGGGTGCAGTGGGTGTCTGTGATGGGTCTAGTGTGTATGTGAAGGGTGCAGTATGTGTGTGTAATGGATGCTGTGTTTGAAGGGTGCGGTGTTTGAGGGTGCTGTTTATGATGTGTGTGAGGGTGCTGTGTGTGATATGTGGGATTTGTGTGTGTGGGTGCTGTGTATGAGGGTGCTGATTATGACATGTGAGGGTGCTGTGTGTGTGGTTTGTGTGTGTGGGTGATGGGTGTGAGGGTGCTGTGTGTGATATGTGTGATTTGTGTGTGTGAGAGTGCTGAGTGTGGTGTGTGAGAGTGCTGAGCGTTATTTGTGTAAGGGTGCTGTGTGTGATTTGTGTGAGAGTGATGTGAGTGAGTGTGCTGTGGGTGAATATTAGAAGGGATTGTGTGTTGGTGGGGGGGTTAAAAAACAAATAAAAAAATAAGCATGAATTATATCCCCCCCTCCCATCGTACCTTTAGCCTGGGAGGGGGACCGGCATGGTGGTACCTGGGAGAGGGGTGGCACTCTCACATCATCCCTGGTGGTCCTAGTGGTGAGTGAACTCCCTGCGGGAGGAACCCAGCAAAGCTGCAAGAAAGAGCTCCGCTGGGTCCTCCTCTTCCTCCTCAGCCGCATGTCTATGAATGTGGGCCGGTGAGGGAGATATTTGATCTCCTCACCGGCCCTTCATGGCAAACAGCGGCCAGTTCGGGCCTGACCCTACCCTTACCTCTTGTGTAACTATACCCGACTCCCTCTAGCATGTAAACTCATTGAGCAGGGCCCTCAATCCCTCTGTTACTGTCACTATACCCCACTCCCTCTAGCATGTAACCTCACTGAGCAGTGTCTCAATCCCTCTATTAGTGTGTCACTATACCCCACTCCATCTAACATGTAAACTCACTGAGCAGGCCCTCAATCCCTCTGTTACTTTGTCCCTATACCCCACTCCCTCTAACATGTAAACTCACTGAGCAGGGCCTCAATCCCTCTGTTACTGTGTCACTATACCCCACTCCCGCTAGCATGTAAACTCACTGAGCAGGCCCTCAATCCCTCTGTTACTGTGTCACTATACCCCACTCCCTCTAACATGTAAACTCACTGAGCAGGCCCTCAATCCCTCTGTTACTGTGTCACTATACCCCACTCCCTCTAACATGTGAACTCACTGAGAAGGCCCTCTGTTACTGTGTCACTATACCCCACTCCCCCTAACATGTAAACTCAATGAGCAGGACCCTGTTACTGTGTCACTATACCCCACTCCCTCTAACATGTAAACTCACTGAGCAGGCCCTCAATCCCTCTGTTACTGTCACTATACCCCACTCCCTCTAACATGTAAACTCACTGAGCAGGGCCCTCAATCCCTCTGTTACTGTGCCACTATACACTGTAAACTCACCCCACTGTCACTATACCCCACTCCCTCTAACATGCAAGCTCACTGAGCAGGGCCCTCAATCCCTCTGTTACTGTGTCACTACCCCATGTAAACTCACTGAGCAGGCCCTCAATCCCTCTGTTACTGTGTCACTATACCCCACTCCCTCTAACATGTAAACTCACTGAGCAGGCCCTCAATCCCTCTGTTACTGTGTCAACTATCACCCCACTCCCTCCCTCTAACATGTAAACTCACTGAGCAGGGCCCTCAATCCCTCTGTTACTGTGTCACTATACCTCTAACATGTAAACTCACTGAGCAGGCCCTCAATCCCTCTGTTACTGTGTCACTATACCCCACTCCCTCTAACATGTAAACTCACTGAGCAGGGCCCTCAATCCCTCTGTTACTGTGTCACTATACCCCACTCCCTCTAACATGTAAACTCACTGAGCAGGCCCTCAATCCCTCTGTTACTGTGTCACTATACCCCACTCCCTCTAACATGTAAACTCACTGAGCAGGGCCCTCAATCCCTCTGTTACTGTGTCACTATACCCCACTCCCTCTAACATGTAAACTCACTGAGCAGGCCCTCAATCCCTCTGTTACTGTGTCACTATACCCACTCCCTCTAACATGTAAACTCACTGAGCAGGCCCTCAATCCCTCTGTTACTGTGTCACTATACCCCACTCCCTCTAACATGTAAACTCACTGAGCAGGGCCCTCAATCCCTCTGTTACTGTCACTATACCCCACTCCCTAACATGTAACAGGCCCTGTCCCTCTGTTACTGTGTCAAACATGTAAGCTCACTGAGCAGGCCCTCAATCCCTCTGTTACTGTGTCACTATACCCCAAACTCACTGAGCAGGCCCTCAATCCCTCTGTTACTGTGTCACTATACTCTCATTGAGCAGGCCCTCAATCCCTCTGTTACTGTGTCACTATACCCCACTCCATCTAACATGTAAACTCATTGAGCAGGCCCTCAATCCCTCTGTTACTGTGTCACTATACCCCACTCCATCTAACATGTAAACTCACTGAGCAGGCCCTCAATTCCTCTGTTACTGTGTCACTATACCCCACTCCCTCTAACATGTAAACTCACTGAGCAGGCCCCTCAATCCCTCTGTTACTGTGTCACTATACCCCACTTCCTCTAGCATGTAAACTCACTGAGCAGGCCCTCAATCCCTCTGTTACTGTCACTATACCCCACTCCCTCTAGCATGTAAACTGACTGAGCAGGGCCCTCAATCCCTCTGTTACTGTGTCACTATACCCCACTCCCTCAATCCCTCTGTTACTGTGTCACTATACCCCACTGCCTCAATCCCTCTGTTACTGTGTCACTATACCCCACTACCTCTAACATGTAACCTCACTGAGCAGGACCTCAATCTTTGTTACTGTGTCACTATACCCCACTCCCTCTAACATGTAAACTCACTGAGCAGGGCCCTCAATCCCTCTGTTACTGTGTCACTATACCCCGCTCCCTCTAACATGTAAGCTCACTGAGCAGGCCCCTCAATCCCTCTGTTACTGTGTCACTATACCCCACTCACTCTAGCATGTAAGCTGTAACGGATCACCTGACACCCCGACTGGGTACCTCCATGGAAGGATGCTCCTAGCGCTTCCTGAGGGCTCCAAGCACTCCAGCCAACACCATAATCACTGTAGACTCCTCCAGAGAGCAAGGCAGGAACAAGCTCTTACAAGAGCTTAGTAGTGATTTAGTAAGGGAGTATGTCAAGCATAGCAATCCCTTGTCGCAGATTCCCCCAATAAGAGACGGCACTCCAAATTGAGGGTGAACTAGAACTCTGTTTACTTGGCACCAAAGGGCCTTCTTTTATGCAATTTTATACTCATTGTAACGGCACCCCCAGGCATAAAAGTGTTAAACCACCGTTTAGAGAATATTTCCCTTCCAGATACACAGGCAGCTACCAAAGACACCAATCTGCCAAACAGGAAACCATACAAACGCTGTAAACAGCCGAATAGGAAAAACCATACGAAAGGTTTGCACTCCTTGCAGTCGAACTGGAACAGCATACCCCCAAGAACGAGACAAAGCTCTGTGTTGAGGGTCAAGCAGTGAACAGGCAGAGCTGTGGGTTTATTGTTCTTATATACACATTAGTACCACCGACAGGGTTTTGTAAAACAACCAATAAACACATACAAACACTCCCACACAAAATCCTCCCCTCTGCCTGTGATACAATTACCTTACACACTGGGTTAATGTAATTATCACAGGCAGAGAAATACAGTTTTTCCACATTATTCATAACTTTAAAAGTATGCATCACATTCACATAAAACTTACATTTTCAGAATCAGCATACTCCGAATACAAACATATGTCAAAATCCTACAAATTGGTCCAGTGGGTCAAAAGTTAGATCGAATGCCTTTGTGACCAAATGAAGCAAGGCTTTTCCAGCCCAAACAAGTTCCACAGAGTCCTCTATCCTGGAGATAATTGGGAAGTAATCCAATTATCTCCAAGGACAGAGGCAAAACTCCATTGAACACATGGTAGCAAAAGACAATAAAATACATAAAAAATATAACTGTGCGGTTATTGCATAAAACAGGTACATTCAACATATCCCCAGATAGCTTAGATCTGAGCGCACATTATTACTGAATGGCGCTCAGATCACATACATACAGTTCAATTGCCATGGAGCCAAAGTCTTTCACATAGTCTTTCTTTATACGAATGGGCTCTATGGCATAGCTATCTGGGGTAACTCTGTTGTCAGGCATAGCAATCCCTTGTAGCAGATTCCCCCAATAAGAGACGGCACTCCAAATTGAGGGTGAAGTAGAACACTTTTTACTTGGCACCAAAGAGCCTTCTTTTATGCAGGTTTAACACATACAGGACCGCCCACAGGGTTTTTCAGAACAACCAATAAAAACATTACAACACATACAATAAAGTAAACCACTCCCAGCAGAAATCCTCTGCCTGTGATACAATTATCTCAAGACAATACACTAACTTAATTAGCACAGGCAGAAAATATACAGTTTTTACACAATTCTTATAACTTTAAAAGTATGCATGCAATATTAATGAAAGTTACATATTTGAAATCAGCGTCCTTCAAATATAAATATACTCAAAAATCTTTCGAATTGGTCCAGTGGGTCAAAAGTTAGGTCAAAAGTAATTTGTGACCACTGAAGCATGGCTTTTCTGTCTATCAATTTGTCTGTCTTTCTTTCTATCCATTTATCTTTCTATCGATCTGTCTATCAATCTGTCTGTCTGTCTGTCTGTCTATTGATATGTCTGTCTGTCTATTTATCTGTCTGTCTATCTATTTGTCTGTCTGTCTATCAAGCTGTCTTTCTGTCTATCGATATTTCTGTCTGTCTATCAATCTGTCTGTCGGTCTATCAATTTGTCTGTCTATCAATATATCTGTCTGTCTATTTGTCTGTCTGTCTATCAATTTGTCTATCTATCTATCTATCTATCTATCAATATATCTGTCTATTGATCTGTCTATCTATCGATGTCTGTCTATCTATTGATCAGTCTTTCTATCTATCGATTTGTCTGTCTGTCTTTCTATTTGTCTGTCTGTCTGTCTGTCTATCGATATGTCTGTCTGTCTATCAACCTGTCTATCTATTTATCTGTCTTTCTCTCTATCAATCTGTCTGTCTGTCTATCGATATGTCTGTCTGTCTATCAATTTGTCTGTCTATCTATCAATATGTCTGTCTGTCTATTTATCTGTCTGTATGTCTATCAACCTATCTGTCTCTCTGTTTATTTGTCTTTCTGTCTATCAATCTGTCTGGCTATCTATCGACATGTCTGTCTGTCTATCAATATGTCTGTCTAGTAATCTGTCTATCTATCGATATGTCTGTCTGTCTATAAATCTGTCTGTCTATTGATCTATCTATCTATCGATCGATCTGTCTGTCTGTCTATCTATTTGTCTGTCTGTCTATCAACCTGTCTGTCTATCTATTTATTTGTCTTTCTGTCTATCTATTTATCTATCTATCGATATGTCTGTCTATCTATTTATCTGTCTGTCTGTCAATCTGTCTGTCTATCTATATATCTTTCTTTCTGACTATCGGTCTGTCTGTTTGTCTATCTATTTATCTATTTATCTTTCTTTCTATCTATCGATCTGTCTGTCTGTCTATCGATATGTCTGTCTGTCTATCACCCTGTCTGTTTATCTATTTATCTGTCCATCAATTTGTCTTTCTATCTATCTATCTATCTATCTATCTATCTATCTATCTATCTATCTATCTATCTATCTATCTATCAATCTGTCTGTCTGTCTATCTATCTATCTATCTATCTATCGATATATCTGTCTGTCTATCTATTTACCTGTCTTTCTGACTAGTGATATGTCTGTCTGTCTATCGATCTATCTTTCTATCGATATGTCTGTCTGTCTATCGATCTGTCTATCTATCGATATGTCTGTCTTTCTATTTAACTGTTTTTCTGACTATTGATATGTCTGTCTGTCTATCGATCTGTCTTTCTATCGATATGTCTGTCTGTCTATCGATCTGTCTGTCTTTCTATTTAACTGTTTTTCTGACTATTGATATGTCTGTCTGTCTATCGATCTGTCTTTCTATCGATATGTCTGTCTTTCTATTTATCTGTCTTTCTGACTATTGATATGTCTGTCTGTCTATCGATCTGTCTTTCTATCGATATGTCTGTCTGTCTATCGATCTGTCTATCTATCGATACGTCTGTCTGTCTATCTATTTATCTGTCTTTCTGTCTATCAGTATGTCTACCTATCCTCCTGTCTATCTCTTTACAAACAGACAGGTAAAGACACAGACAGAGGCTGTGATAAAGAGACAGATACCATACAGTGAATATAAATGTAGAGAGAGAACAAGTGAGTGTGTATTTCTATTTTCCTGTGATTCCATCAAAGTGCTGTGTCTTGGCAGCGGCTGAAACAAATTCATTTATTACATACATTAGAGAGAAGCAGAGGGTGGGAGTAAAACACACAGTGTCCAATCTGTAATTCTTATTACTTAAAGATTTTTCCCCCTTACCCTGTCACCTTCACCTAAACTCAATGCTAGTTATGGCTCTTTATTAGGGCGGACAGAGGCTTTGTCATTCCTTAAATCCTGTGCTTTTAGACCCTGAGGTCACACTTATACATGGTGACATCATCACATCCCCAATTCTTGGCTGCTATCTAAACACCCTCCATGCTAAGTCACCCATAGCTCTGACATCATTTGAGGTTTCCTAGGAGTATATAAACCAAAGAAATTACAGTCCACACAGGGAGAACGAACATTCTGAGTTCCAGAAAAACTCCCCACCCTCAAAACCAAGGAAACTGTATAACTACAGCACCACAAGTCTTCAGAACCTGGTAGAGACCCTCCGTCTTCAGAATCTGGGAGAGACCCTCCATCTTCATCAACTGGGAGAGACACAGTCTTCAGCACCTGGAAGAGACCCTCCAATTTCATCACCTGGGAGAGACACAGTCTTCAGCACCTGGGAGAGATCCTCATTCTTCAGCACCTGGGAGAGATCCTCCATTTTCAGCACCTGGGATATCCTCCAACCTGGGAGACCCTCCATCCGATCCTCTGTCCTCAACACCTGGGAGACCATCTGTCCGTCCCTCCATCTTCAGCACCTGGGAGACCATCTGTCCGAACCTCCATCCTCAGCACTCAACTTTCAAGAAACCCTCCATCCTGAGCACCTGAGAGGCTCACCAGTAACGGGAGACATTGAGACAGACACTGACCTGTGGTGAGCTGGACTCTGATTAAAGGTAAAAGCACAGTCTAAGTATGCTGTCAGTGCAGATTTTGTGTGTGTGTGTGTGTGTGTGCTTAATGTCCAGGCACAGTTTGTCTTGTCCTGTCTCCTCTCTGTGACCCATTTTACATGGTGTTTTTATTATAAGAGGAACTTTACACTTCCGGTACTGTGTAACAGTTAATATTCTAGCTGCAAGAACTGATCCTGTAATGATTTATTTGAAATTACACAAAGGGGATGGGGGTCACAATCTTAGCTTTATTATGGCTTCACATAACTTATCTTCTGCGAAACTGAATGAGTTAACTCCTTCCCTGCTGGAGTTATCTCAGAGCTGAATGAGTTAACTCCTTCCCTGCTGGAGTTATCTCAGAGTAATTCACAGTTAACCCTTCACTGGTAGAAGGGCGAAAGCATCTCTACAGCTCAGGGCTGCTTTGCACCATTATTATGGTAATTTGTTGGCTGGTGACAATGTCCGTGAGAGAGTGACAATCCGTGGGGCAGTTTTCCAAAATGTACATTTACAATATTAAGAAAATGAAGTTTACAGGAGCCTTCAGTTTAACCAGTTTTCTAAATGCTCAGAATAGGAAATTGCCGCCTTGTCTGTCTCTGACTATGGGTACATGGTGTGGCAGCCAAAACGTGGTGTCTATCCTCACTGTAAATCATACTGGAAACCAGCTCCTCATCTTCTCTTCTAATGTAAACACAAGATCTACTAATTTAAGATTCCGAGTGAGGCGTCCACACCATATCTAGGTATATAGTATGATAGGACGGGGCTTTCACACCATATCTAGTTATATAGTATGATAGGACGGGGCTTCCACATCATATCTAGGTATAAAGTATGATAGGACGGGGCTTCCACACCTTATCTAGTTATATAGTATTATAGGACGGGGCTTCCACACCTTATCTAGTTATTTAGTATTATAGGACGGGGCTTCCACACCATATCTAGTTATATAGTATGATAGGACGGGGCTTCCACACCATATCTAGTTATATAGTATGATAGGACAGGGCTTCCACACCATATCTAGTTATATAGTATGATAGGACGGGGCTTCCACACCATATCTAGGTATAAAGTATGATAGGACGGGGCTTCCACACCTTATCTAGTTATATAGTATTATAGGACGGGGCTTCCACACCTTATCTAGTTATTTAGTATTATAGGACGGGGCTTCCACACCATATCTAGTTATATAGTATGATAGGACAGGGCTTCCACACCATATCTAGCTATATAGTATGATAGGACGGGGCTTCCACACCATATCTAGGTATAAAGTATGATAGGACGGGGCTTCCACACCTTATCTAGTTATATAGTATTATAGGACGGGGCTTCCACACCTTATCTAGTTATATAGTATTATAGGACGGGGCTTCCACACCATATCTAGTTATATAGTATGATAGGACACTGCTTCCACACCATATCTAGGTATATAGTATGATAAGACGGGGCTTCATATCACGGGGCTTCCACACCTTATCTAGTTATATAGTATTATAGGACGGGGCTTCCACACCATATCTAGTTATTTAGTATTATAGGACGGGGCTTCCACACCATATCTAGTTATATAGTATGATAGGACAGGGCTTCCACACCATATCTAGCTATATAGTATTATAGGACGGGGCTTCCACACCATATCTAGGTATAAAGTATGATAGGACACTGCTTCCACACCATATCTAGTTATATAGTATGATAGGACAGGGCTTTCACACCATATCTAGTTATATAGTATTATAGGACGGGGCTTCCACACCTTATCTAGTTATATAGTATGATAGGACGGGGCTTCAACATCATATCTAGCTATATAGTATGATAGGACGGGGCTTTCACACCATATCTAGGTATAAAGTATGATAGGACGGGGCTTCCACACCTTATCTAGTTATATAGTATGATAGGACGGGGCTTCCACACCTTACCTAGTTATATAGTATGATAGGATGGGGTTCCCACACCATATCTAGTTATATAGCATGATAGAACTGGGATTCCACACCATATCTAGTTATATAGTATTATAGGACGGGGCTTCCACACCATATCTAGGTATAAAGTATGATAGGACACTGCTTCCACACCATATCTAGTTATTTAGAATGATAGGACACTGCTTCCACACCATATCTAACTATATAGTATGACTGGACGGGGCTTTCACACCATATCTAGCTATATAGTATGATAGGACGGGGCTTTCACACCATATCTAGTTATATAGTATTATAGGACAGGGCTTCCACACCATATCTAGCTATATAGTATGATAGGACGGGGCTTCAACATCATATCTAGCTATATAGTATGATAGGACGGGGCTTTCACACCATATCTAGGTATAAAGTATGATAGGACGGGGCTTCCACACCTTATCTAGTTATATAGTATGATAGGACGGGGCTTCCACACCATATCTAGTTATATAGTATGATAGGACAGGGCTTTCACACCATATCTAGTTATATAGTATTATAGGACGGGGCTTCCACACCTTATCTAGTTATATAGTATGATAGGACGGGGCTTCAACATCATATCTAGCTATATAGTATGATAGGACGGGGCTTTCACACCATATCTAGGTATAAAGTATGATAGGACGGGGCTTCCACACCTTATCTAGTTATATAGTATGATAGGACGGGGCTTCCACACCTTACCTAGTTATATAGTATGATAGGATGGGGTTCCCACACCATATCTAGTTATATAGCATGATAGAACTGGGATTCCACACCATATCTAGTTATATAGTATTATAGGACGGGGCTTCCACACCATATCTAGTTTTATAGGATAGAACGGGGCTTCCACACAATATCTAGCTATATAGTATGATAGGACGGGGCTTCCACACAATATCTAGTTATTTAGTATTATAGGACGGGGCTTCCACACCATATCTAACTATATAGTATAATACGACGGGGCTTCCACACCATATCTAGTTATATAGTATGATACGACGGTGCTTCCACACCATATGTAGTTATATAGTATTATAGGACGGGGCTTCCACACCATATCTAGTTATTAAGTATTATAGGACGGGGCTTCCACACCATATCTAACTATATAGTATATAGGACGGGGCTTCCACACCATATCTAACTATATAGTATGATACGACGGGGCTTCCACACATATCTAGTTATATAGTATGATACGACGGTGCTTCCACACCATATCTAGTTATATAGTATGATAGGACGGGGCTTCCACACCATATCTAGTTATCTAGTGTGATAGGACGGGACTTCCACACCATATCTAGTTATTTAGTATTATAGGACGGGGCTTCCACACCATATCTAGTTATTAAGTATTATAGGACGGGGCTTCCACACCATATCTAACTATATAGTATGATAGGACGGGGCTTCCACACCATATCTAGTTATATAGTATGATAGGACGGGGCTTCCACACCATATCTAGTTATATAGTATGATAGGACGGGGCTTGCACACCATATCTAGTTATTTAGTATTATAGGACGGGGCTTCCACACCATATCTAACTATATAGTATGATAGGACACTGGTATGACAGGACGGGGCTTTCACACCATATCTAGCTATATAGTATGATAGGACGGGGCTTGCACACCATATCTAGTTATTTAGTATTATAGGACGGGGCTTCCACACCATATCTAACTATATAGTATGATAGGACACTGCTTCCACACCATATCTAGGTATATAGTATGATAAGACGGGGCTTCCACACCATAACTAGTTATTTAGTATTATAGGACGGGGCTTCCACACCATATCTAACTATATAGTATGATAGGACACTGCTTCCACACCATATCTAGGTATATAGTATGATAAGACGGGGCTTCCACACCATAACTAGTTATTTAGTATTATAGGACGGGGCTTCCACACCATATCTAACTATATAGTATGATAGGACACTGCTTCCACACCATATCTAGGTATATAGTATGATAAGACGGGGCTTCCACACCATAACTAGTTATTTAGTATTATAGGACGGGGCTTCCACACCATATCTAACTATATAGTATGATAGGACACTGCTTCCACACCATATCTAGGTATATAGTATGATAGGACGGGGCTTCCACACCATAACTAGTTATTTAGTATTATAGGATGGGGCTTCCACACCATATCTAACTATAAAGTATGATAGGACACTGCTTCCATACCATATCTAACTATATAGTATCACTTTCACACCATATCTAGGTATAACGTATGATAGGACGGGGCTTCCACACCTTATCTAGTTATATAGTATGAAAGGATGGGGTTCCCACACCATATCTAGTTATATAGCATGATAGAACTGGGATTTCACACCATATCTAGTTATATAGTATTATAGGACGGGGCTTCCACACCATATCTAGTTTTATAGGATAGAACGGGGCTTCCACACAATATCTAGCTATATAGTATGATAGGACGGGGCTTCCACACAATATCTAGTTATTTAGTATTATAGGATGGGGCTTCCACACCATATCTAACTATAAAGTATGATAGGACACTGCTTCCATACCATATCTAACTATATCACTTTCACACCATATCTAGGTATAAAGTATGATAGGACGGGGCTTCCACACCTTATCTAGTTATATAGTATGATAGGATGGGGTTCCCACACCATATCTAGTTATATAGCATGATAGAACTGGGATTCCACACCATATCTAGTTATATAGTATTATAGGACGGGGCTTCCACACCATATCTAGTTTTATAGGATAGAACGGGGCTTCCACACAATATCTAGCTATATAGTATGATAGGACGGGGCTTCCACACAATATCTAGTTATTTAGTATTATAGGACGGAGCTTCCACACCATATCTAACTATATAGTATATAGGACGGGGCTTCCACACCATATCTAACTATATAGTATAATAGGACGGGGCTTCCACACCATATCTAGTTATATAGTATGATACGACGGTGCTTCCACACCATATCTAGTTATATAGTATTATAGGACGGGGCTTCCACACCATATCTAGTTATTACGTATTATAGGACGGGGCTTCCACACCATATCTAACTATATAGTATATAGGACGGGGCTTCCACACCATATCTAGTTATTTAGAATGATAGGACACTGCTTCCACACCATATCTAACTATATAGTATGACTGGACGGGGCTTTCACACCATATCTAGCTATATAGTATGATATGGGCTTGCACACCATATCGAGTTATTTAGTATTATAGGACGGGGCTTCCACACCATATCTAGTTATATAGTATGATAGGACACTGCTTCCACACCATATCTAGGTATATAGTATGATAAGACGGGGCTTCCACACCATATCTAGCTATAAAGTATTATAGGACGGGGCTTCCACACCATAACTAGTTATTTAGTATTATAGGATGGGGCTTCCACACCATATCTAACTATAAAGTATGATAGGACACTGCTTCCACACCATATCTAGGTATATAGTATGATAGGACGGGGCTTTCACACCATATCTACTTATATAGTATGATAGGACAGGGCTTCCACAGCATATCTAGTTATATAGTATCATAGGATGGGGCTTCCACACCATATCTAGTTATATAGTATGATAGGACAGGGCTTCCACACCATATCTAGTTATATAGTATGATAGGACGGGGCTTCCACACCATATCTAGCTATATAGTATGATAGGACGGGGCTTCCACACCATATCTAGGTACGGGGCTTCCACACCATATCTAGTTATATAGTATTATAGGACGGGGCTTCCACACCTTATCTAGTTATTTAGTATTATAGGACGGGGCTTCCACACCATATCTAGTTATATAGTATGATAGGACAGGGCTTCCACACCATATCTAGTTATATAGTATGATAGGACGGGGCTTCCACACCATATCTAGCTATATAGTATCATCGGACGGGGCTTCCACACCATATCTAGTTATATAGTATTATAGGATGGGGCTTTCACACCATATCTAGTTATTTCTATGAGAGGACGGGGCTTCCACACCATATCTAACTATATAGTATGATAGGAAGGGGCTTCAACATCATATCTAGTTATTTAGTATGATAGGACGGGGCTTCCACACCATATCTAGTTATATAGTAAGTTAGAACGGGGCTTCCACACCATAACTAGTTATTTAGTTTTATAGGATGGGGCTTCCACACCATATCTAGTTATAAAGTTTGATAGGACACTGCTTCCATACCATATCTAACTATATAGTATGATAGGACGGGGCTTGCACACCATATCTAGTTATTTAGTATTATAGGACGGGACTTCCACACCATATCTAACTATATAGTATGATAGGACACTGCTTCCACACCATATCTAGTTATATAGTATGATAGGACGGGGCTTCCACACTATATCTAGTTATATAGTATGATAGGACAGAGCTTCCACACCATATCTAGTTATATAATATGATAGGACGGGGCTTCCACACCATATCTAGTTATGTAGTGTGATAGGACACTGCTTCCACACCATATCTAGCTATATAGTATGCTTGTACAACATATCTAGTTATATAGTGTGATAGGACACTGCTTCCACACCATATCTAGTTATATAGTGTGATAGGACACTGCTTCCACACCTTATATAGTTATATAGTATGATAGGACAGGGCTTCCACACCATACCTAGTTATATAGTATAATAGGACAGGGCTTCCACACCATATCCAATTATATAGTATGATAGGACAGAGCTTCAACACTGTATCTAGTTATATAATATGATAGGACAGAGCTTCCAAACCATATATAGTTATATAGTATGATAGGACGGGGCTTCCACACCATACCTAGTTATATTGTATTGTATGACTGGTGGCTTCCACACCAAGCCTATATATTATGGATTGGAAAATTCCAAACCGTCTCTAGTCCAATGAGTTTCTAGAGTAAGGGGCTTTCACACCATATCTAAATATAAAGGATACCTTTTTCACTCCATTTTTTGATGGAATCCCCAGACTGCAATGGAAGTGAAGGGGCAGTCCGATCGTATGCCAAGGTGCTAACTTTTGAGTTTAAACGCTTTGTAAGCTCTCAGGACCTTCTCACAGGACCAGCTCTCAGGACCTTCTCGCACCAGAACAGTTTAGTCAGCAGATATAGGTAGAGCAAGTCAGGTTTGGTAAGTTAGCAGATACTTGAAGGGTTAGTTAGTGAGGTCAGGTTAGTGATTGTAATCAGGAAGAGTTGAATAGTTAGTGGATACAGGAACGGTTAGTTAAGGAGCTGAGGTTAGTGGATACAGGGAGGGTTAGTTAAGGAGGTGAGGTTAGTTAGAGAGGTTAGGTTAGTGGATACAGTGATGGTTAGTTAAGGAGGTGAGGTTAGTTAGAGAGGTTAGGTTAGTTAGTGGATACAGGGATGGTTAGTTAAGGAGGTGAGATTAGTTAGAGAGGTTAGGTTAGTGGATACAGGGAGAGTTAGTTAAGGAGGTGAGATTAGTTAGAGAGGTTAGGTTAATGGATACAGGGATGGTTAGTTAAGGAGGTGAGGTTAGTTAGAGAGGTTAGGTTAGTTAGTGGATACAGGGGGTGTTAGTCAGGCTAGTTAGTGGATACATAAGGGGTTAGTTGTGGATGAAGCGAGGGTTAGGTAGGAAGTTCTCCCTGCGCAGATTGGGCAATGTTTGAGTCAGTTAGAAGAGGGGTTGTAGAGGAAATATTCAAAGAGCAAAGATGTTTTTGTGTTGATTTTTATAGTTTTTTTTATATATATGTATAAAATACAATTTTATTGTTTTTTTCAGCAAATGAAGATTTTTAAAGAGATTTTACTAATTACTCATGGTCTGATTTATCACTTAATGCAGCAGATTGCCCTTGTGGTACAGTGGGTTACCCTGTCTTGCTGTATCGAGCCCCAGAGAGGGACTGCAAGCTAATAGCACAGCTAGGGGCATACAACGCTGCCCGCTACCTAATGACAAAGCTTGTGTCAAGGCTACATGGTGCTCTGGAGGCTCCCATGCGTAGATCATGATAAAAAATCCCCTTTCCATCACCCTAATATTCCAACTCACACAGTGCACTTACCATATTAAACAGTCTTTTAGTGCATGCACCTTAATAAAATATATGTGTGCCACAATGCAATGACCCTCCTGGAAGACCAATCCCGTATCCGTCAGTTCTCTCTCCCCTCACCTTTTGAGTTTCCCTCTGCTATTTCTTTATCTTGTAGTGCAGTGATAAATAGCCAAGCTTACAATGACATATCTGCAAGATTATAGAATATACGACAAAGTGTAAGTATATTACATGAAGTGTAATATGTTGCACTTTTTATAAAATGAAAAAGTAAGGAAAACAAGATGAATACTATGGCTGCTGATGCTAGTCGGTAAAACATTAAATTCTAGTCTGAGCAATGCTCTGGGGTCGATGTGAACATATAGAGAAACATTTACTGCCTATGAATGAAAGTTCTCTTCACAATCAGTGCACACTGACACATGATATAACAGATCATACTGCTGGAATCAGGAAAAATAAGATTGGAAAAGAAAACCACTCGGTTCTCACGAATAGAGAGAGCCATCAAACAGGTCACAAAAGTAAGCCAGGGTAAGATATGGAGGCCTTGTAGCCTCCTCTAAAATGGTGGGTCAGCCAACACCAATCCTACGGGGTACGCCATAGAGGTGAGGGACAAGTCCCAAAGTCCCTAGCAAATCCCTTCACAAGCCCCAGATCGCCCTTCCATCAATGCCACTAGACAGCTTCAGCCATATCCTGCGATCGTGGAACTTACTCCATGTGTATTCCCAGGTTGTGATCGATGTGAGGGGTGTCAACCCCATGGGGATCATGGTCCAGGTGACTGGCGATACAGCCAGAAGTCCCATAGCCTGCCTGTGTCTCTCTCTCAACAGCTCTTTAAGCCTGGTACGACCTGGACTTTTGTGTCTCATTTAATCATTTAATCCCCCAGTCTCTCTATACTCCCTTGTGTCTCTTTCCCCATATTCTCTAACCTTATGTTAAAGGGACATGCATCACTTTAGGACAACTCTCATTCAAGAGTTTAATGGACACTATAGTCACCAAAACAATTTAGCTTAATGAAGCAGTTTTGCTGTATAGATCATACCTATGCAGTCTCACTGCTCACTTCTCTGCCATTTAGAAGTTAAATCATTTAGTTTATGCAGCCCTAGTCACACATCCCATATGACTTACACAGCCTTCGTAAACACTTCCTGTAAAGAGTCATCTAATGTTTATACTTCCTTTCTTACAAATTCTGATTTATAATTTCTTATCCCCTGGTATGTTAATAGCTTGCTAGACCCTGCATGAGCCTCCTGTATGTATTTAAAGTTCAATTTATAGAGCAGGAGATTTTTTTCATGCAGTTTGTGTCAGTTACAACCAGGGGATGTGTGGCTAGGGCTGCATAAACAAAAACAAAAGTGATTTAACTTCTAAATGAGTTGTGAGACTTCAGAGGCATGATCTATACACCAAAACGACTTAATTAAGCTAAATTTGTTTTGGTGAATATAGTGTCCCTTTAAGCGTGTGTGGACTAAAGAAGCTCCCCTAGCTGAGAGGCGTGTCCAACAATGCAATCTGAGAAAGTCTATAGTAAGTTTATAAACGTTTATTACATAATTTTCAAAATTAGATTTTTTTTTTACAAGTGTTTACTGGCTGTACCTCTCTCTCCCGGTCCCCTACGCTTCTTTGTGTCTCTCCCCCATCTCCTAAGTGTGCATGTGTATGCCACTGATACACACAGAAGGAAAATACACAGTATACCATCAGCACATGCCTGCCAGCCATGCCCCTCTTATCTTCTATCAGGGTAGACATTTACCTTCCTGAACTGCATGTCTTCCTCATTTAGTCTACTTACCCACCTATACTGCATGAGAAAGCAATGGAGAAAGAGAGAGAGAGAGACAAACAGAGAGAGAAGGTGAGAGCAGAAATGGTGGGTGAGAGGGTTACTGGTTGGTACAGGATAAAATGCTATATGTAAATTATATTCCTGATTCTAGCTTTGTCTATACACACAGTTGTCTGTTGTGTTACTTAATATGTTTCCAGTATTCTCAGAGCCTTACTATATGTTCTTCAATCCAGGTCTCTCTGAATTTGGACATCATGAAGACAGCACCTCTCCTACTGCTAACCTGCTACTTGATCTTCACGGCCAAAGGTGGTGCTCGACCTCTAGACATGGGTATCTTTGGAGGTGCTCAGCTCAGTCTGAATAGGGACCTGACTGATGAGAGTGTCCAGGCTTTGTTGTACTTTTTGAGGGAGAAGTTCCAACAAGAGTTGGATGAAGACCCCCGTGTTCAGCTGAGATTGAGCAAAAGTTCCCTCTCCTCAAATCAACAGATATCGACCCAGGAACTGGGACAAATCTTCAGCATTATACAGACTCTCTTCCGAGAGTCCATCAACCAGTCCCCGAAGAACCTCCTGGAGGTATTCTCTGATCGCCTTAAGAGAGAAGATCCTCCAATCTCAATTGACCTGACATACCACATCCTTAGGCAAATGATAGAGATTGCCAAAGTGCAGAACCAAAAGCAACAGGCTGAACAGAACCGTATAATCTTTGATTCAGTGGGGAAGTGACAGTTAAAAGGACAGAGGACATTGTTGCTTGAGCCAAAACAATCTTTCTTGCTGTTCAACCAATGGCTTGATGATCCATTGCCCTACACAGCGTGTGACAATGTAGAGTGTGTTCTGACACCTTATAGACTCATCGTGACATCAAGGAGGGTCTAAGAGGATGTTGGTGTCTCTTTGTATGTGTCCCAAATTACACTCTCCATTCAGGGATGTCTCCTGCTTTTATTTGTCCCATCCTGAGTTTTCTTTCTTATTAAATCCAGGCAAAGGGCAGGTATTCTGGGGCTCGTACCCAGCAGTGCACATAGTATGTTTTTTTGAATAAGAAGTGTGAACATGGCAAGATGAGATTTTGGATCTCAAAGTAATAAGCCCTTTATCAGTCAAGCAGACTGTCAGCTTCTGGCACATCATGCAGACTGTCAGCATCTAGCACCACAAGCAGAACGTGTGAGGTGGGGCACTCCCTGTCTGAGACTGGCCCTTTCATCCCCTTCCCTCCTATGTCACTGGCCTTTCCTCCCAATCTCTAGTCTGGATTCAATCTGTAGAGATCACCTAAATCCCACAGGTGTTTTAGATATTGGCATTGTGTGCCGCAACCTCTATGTTTTTGGAATGTAAATGAACAAGGATTAAGAGCAGAGAAGAAGTGTATTTATGTCCACTATAACTATCTTCTTGACCATCCATAGGCCATCATAATATAGAACTCTGCAATGGACGAGTGACATCATAATATAGCACTCTGCGATGACCGAGTGACATTATAATATAGCACTCTGTGATGACTGAGAAACATAATAATATAGCACTCTGCCATTGCCGAGTGACATCATAATACAGCACCCTGTTATGGTCGAGTGACATCATAATATAGCACCATGTGATGGCCAAGTGACATCAAAATATAGAACTCTGTGATGGCCAAATGACATCATAATACAGTACCTTCCGACAGACAAGTGACATCATAATACAGCACCTTCCGATGGCCGAGTGACATCATTATACAGCACTCTGGGATGGCCACATGACAACATAATATAGCACTCTGCCATGGCCAAGTGACATCATCACAAGCCACTGTGCCCCAGGGTTTATGTAGTATGGCGCCACAGACATCCCTTAACACACTGTATAGACTCCTGTCAGTATTCAGTAAAATCCCTACTTTTGCTGCATATTTGTAAGAAGTGTACAATAAAATCACATAGAGATGGTTTGATATTGCTGTGCTGTGTGTTTATTCATTGCATGATGTCATGGGAGCTATAAAATTAGCGCTACTGTGAGTTTTACTGCCATGGAGCTCTGTGATACACTCATACACACTGCACATTCCTGTGTGTTTTATTGCTGTGGAGCTCTGTGATACACTCATACACACTGCACATTCCTGTGAGTTGTATTGCTGTGGAGCTCTGTGATACACTCATACACTGCACATTACTGTGAGTTTTATTACTGTGGAGCTCTGTGATACACTCATACACACTGCACATTCCTGTGTGTTTTATTGCTGTGGAGCTCTGTGATACACTCATACACACTGCACATTCCTGTGAGTTGTATTGCTGTGGAGCTCTGTGATACACTCATACACTGCACATTACTGTGAGTTTTATTACTGTGGAGCTCTGTGATACACTCATACACACTGCACATTCCTGTGTGTTTTATTGCTGTGGAGCTCTGTGATACACTCATACACACTGCACATTCCTGTGAGTTTTATTGCTGTGGAGCTCTGTGATACACTCATACACTGCACATTACTGTGAGTTTTATTACTGTGGAGCTCTGTGATACACTCATACACACTGCACATTACTGTGTGTTGTATTGCTGTGGAGCTCTGTGACATAATCATACACACTGCACATTATTGTGTGTTGTATTGCTGTGGAGCTCTGTGATACATTTATACACACTGCACATTACTGACAGTTTCTTCCTTGTGGAGCTCTGTGATGCACTCAGTGGTGTATTTTGGATTTGTGCTGCCCTAGGCTCGGGCACCCCCCTAATTTAAATTTTCCCCACCCCTTCATGTCAAGGCCACACTTTGACTGACAGACGCTCACTCACTGACAGACACACACTCTCATATACACTGACAAACAATGACATACATACACACTCACTGATTTGACACACTGATAGACAGACACGCTATTACTCAGACTCACACTCACTGACAGACAAACGCACTGACAAACGCAGGCACTCACTGACAGACGCACGCACTTACTGACCGACACATACACACTCACTGACAGACACAAACACTTAGACACACAGGCATTCACTTAGACACACACACTTACACACACACATTCACTTAGACACACACACAGTGTGCTGCCCGCATCCCACTTTGTGCCCGAGGTACTGCACCTCGGCCATGCCTCGGCGTTGTCAGTAGATTTTTATCGGCAGACATTTTGTGTTAAGACAGAAATTAAAAGTGTATACTTTTAGAACAGAGGTGACTCAATTTTTTAACAGAATACAGAGACAGACACATTTTTACTTCTCTTTCTATAACTATTCATTCTCGTCTGAGCTAAGGAATGCAACTTATGTAAACATTAGAGATAAAACCTGAGATAAGGCATGATGTCTAACAGCAGGGCAGGGGTTGAAAACCAACCCAGAGACAAAAGTATAAATATATATATATATACACGTACAGACTATCCACATATAATTTACTATTACAGCCATACTCCACTTTACATACACTCCCTTTACATACACTCGCGAGTACAGACATACCCGCGAGTGTACTTAAAGGTGCCTCGCGAGTACAGACATTCCCGCGCCTCTTCAGTTTGCGAGTGAACAGGAAATGGAAGGTTCTATTCTCGCCCGGAGCAGCTCAGTTCAGTGTCATTAGGGCAAGAACTTTTCACACCTCCTGACATGGCACAGGTTAATCGTATCAAATTTATCATGCCTACTCCTAGCTGAACATATATATATATATTTTTTTTCTGCCCCTACATTGTCCATATTCTGCAATCGGCTGCCATCCAGTGAAAGGGTTTACCCTGCCATTTTCTATAACTATGACTTAGCTGCATTGGCCATAATTCTGAGGATTCAAAGTTAAACCATAAATGCTTAAAGTGATGAAAATGTGTTTCCAAACAAAGTGTGCAACTAAGCTGCTAACAAACACAAATTGGCACTGTATTGACAGAATATGGCCCAGTGGGCAGGTTTGTTTAATTTTCCTCTCAGTTTAAGGTTGTCAGATGAGTAAAACATTAAAAATAAATGGTACAATCTGGAATGAGATTTTTATTTTTACTGTTTGTTTTAACTGAATAAAAGCCCAATGGAAATCACTAAATAAATCACTGGAAATAAAATCACTGGCAATCTGCAGTTGCAGTATCGGTTATGCCTGTAAATGACTATTGCAATGTGGTACATGCATTGGGAAGTGAAAAAAGGTATTGCTTCACTTTAAGTACATTTTCGTTTTACATACATGCTCTGGTCCCATTGTATTCTTAAAAGTGGGGTATGCCTGTATTATATTAATCATATATAATTAGTACTATGTTAATAATATAGAATATTCATGGATATAATATCAATTAAGAAATGTCTTATGATTACTAACGTTAGTGGAATATGTGTAATAGACATATATGTGTAATCTTAACTACAGTTTCACACAAGAAAACCAGACACCAAATGACAGATAACACTAAGCAATGCATTTAACTTTCTAAAAAAACAATTTTTTAACGGAATATTACTAGTTCCATTGTAAGAAAGAGGTGAAAAAGAGTTTAAGATATGTCAGAAATCTGAATTTAAAGGTATATGCCAGACACTCAGACTGGGAAAACCCTTTCAAGATGACAGCTTCTTTGACAAATAGTAGACATAAACAGAAAACCAGATGACGACAAACGCATCACAAAATTCAGTTAACCCATTATACAAAAAGGTAAATGGACCCCCTGACAAGAAATGTTGGTGATGTAATTGCGCCATCTACTGACCAAAAACTAGAAGATAGTCTGTAGGGAAGACACACCTACAGTTCGCTATTGGTTACTATTAACTAGTGACGTGCAGGGAATTTCTGCTTTAAAAAGTAAGGACAAAGGGAAACACTCTCTCGGACTTACACATTCTGACTCTTGGACTGGACTCAAGGCTCCCACTTCCAGAGTCTCAAACACTCTATTGGACACTGGCATCTGGATCCAAAGCTGGACATGCCTAATTCTTTGTATCTTTTCCAACTAACACAACTTCAGAACTGAAAACTTTTATATATTTTCATACACTTCTCTCATCATACTTGCATTCAAAATTCCTGGGACATATCTACACACCTGATAAGAATTTCTACAACATAACCGGTAATTATGCTGGTTTTATTTAATTTAATCTAAATAAAATTTAATTAATTGATTTTACTAAAAGGCAGAATATACGTGGATAAAAGCTGGTGATTCCAAACATTAAGGAGTCATGATTCGTTAATAATATATAGAATTCGGAATTCCATTCCTGCAGGTGGACCAATAAACTCTATATTACTTTTAACTTTAAAAATAGAATACCAGGCAATTACCCAAATATACTAGCTTATGTAATTTAGAAATAGTGAATCTTAATTAGGAATGTTAAAAGTCTGCAAACTTAAAATCTGGTTAGGCTTATTCTCATTGGATGACCATAGGAATGGTGAATGATCTGGTATGAGGATTACTGTAGTTGTAAAATTGCAATATAATAGGATATCTTGCCTATGAGGATTGTAGCCAGCAGTGGAAGAGTTAATTCGGTGTGATCTGACTGTTAGCCAAAGTTTTTAATGTTTTACGCTGCACTGCTGTGTGTTCTGTGTTCTGTTGATTTCTAAGAAGTGTCCTATCGTAAATCTTGTTGGCAACTGTTGCATATAACTGTTGCTTTTAGTTGTCTATATTGTGTTAAACCACTGCCATATTGTATACTTATATTATACCTAAATATTCACTGATTGTCACGCATGTTACATATATTATTTTTATTATTATTGTCACAATAAATTATATTTTTATAATTAATTTGTGATTAATGTGTGAAGTTAAATCTTCTGGTGAAACTTCCTCTAGGATCTAAGAGAATTAAAATAGTGGGTAATTCTCAGCTTTAAATAATTAATCAGGGAAACAGTGCAAAGATATACATTTTTGATATAATAAAAATGATTAAATTAATTTGTGATAAGTTTTATGAAAATATTATTTTTAATATTCATCACCCTGTAAATATCCTCACAGGGTTAAGCCTGCTTCCCTAATTCTATCTAGGACTGCTCCTATAGGGGTCAAGTGCTCCTGCCAGGTATCACTAAAAATGGCAATATTGTCTAAATATGCGCAGGTGTAGTCTTGGAACCTATCCAGGAGGCGGTCCACTATTCTTTGGAAGGTAGCCGCAGCGTTTTTCATCCCAAACGACATTGCTTTAAATTGGTATAAGCCGAATGGGGTGACAAAGGCTGACTTTGGAATGGCATCAGGTGCTATTGGGATCTGCCAATACCCCTTACAAAGATCAATTGTAGTGAGGTATTGGCCCCTAGCCATCCTGTCTAACAACTCATCTATCCTAGGCATGGAATACGCATCTGACACTGTCTTAACATTCAACCTCCGGTAGTCCACACAGAACCGAGCCGTACCGTCCCGTTTGAGTACCCAGGGGCTGTCAGAGGGCTCAATAACCCCCAGTTGGAACATCTCTTGTATCTCCTTGTGCATGTTCTCCCGCACCGACTCAGGGATTTGGTATGGGGTCTGGCGCATAGGGAGCTGACCTGGTGTCTCTACCCGGTGAGTTGCCAAAGGAGTGTATCCACGTACATTGGAGAAGGTGTCCTTCTTCTCCCTTAACAGTTGCTGTACCTCGAACTGCTCCTGTGGGCCCAACTTGACCTCTTCTATCTCACTGGATTGGCTCCCGTCCCCTAAGAGGTCTGGTAGGGGAAGGTTGTCAAAGTCTTAAGGGGCAGGGGCACAGATTGCCGATCACATAGGTGGTGTCACAGATCTGTTCCACCACCTTGTATGGGCCCTGCCAGGAAGCCTGCAGC